GGGAAGCCAAAAATCGGTACCTCTGCTCCGTGGGCCTACAGGGCAGTTTTTAACACATAGGATTTTCAACATATAAGATTTGTGATACATGATTAGTTTATGAGTAAGCATCGTTGTGTTTAATTCTAAGTCCCTGCATTTTTAATACAGGATCCGAGCGCGGAGCATGCATTAAAAACGGCACTGTATCTCGTGGCACGCTCTGACGAGGATCTCGGAACGAACGCGGTCGTGGCGTTAGGTGGCTACCGTCGCACTTAAGAAGGGCCACATCCCAGAAATGACTTCGAGCACCGGGAAAACGTGTCGAAGGAGTGTCGAAACAGTGTCGACACACAGCGTCGGACGAGTGTCTCCCAGGGAGCGACACGTGAAAACCTCTAAATTTCAATATTTTCTTGGTGCTCATTTTTTCTCTGGTGATCAAGGCTAAAGTAGGTTGGAACATCATAATCGCGGCGACGATCCGGAAGTTCGAAACAGCTACAAAAAAAGTCACGATGCCCAGCAGCAGATGCTTCCCAGAAGCGACAGCGGCAACTGCTGGGCAGGCGACTTTCTGTCTCACGTTTGATAGCGTCCCCAGCGAGTCCTTTTCAAGCTGGGCAGGGGCTGCTGTCGGTCCTCGTCACCATTGGTTCCGCACCCACTCACTTCGACCCTCCCGAAGCGAGGGCCTCCCAGGAGGAACAAGGCGAACACGAGGGAAGGGCAGCGGCATCTGTGCCTCTCTCTCCCCTGGGCCCTGAACTCTGACGTGGCGCAACACCGCAGCCTCGCGAGCAGAACACCACCCGTGAGCCCGAGACCCCAGACCCAATCCTCCCGCGGCATTTACTCGAAGTGAATCCAGCCGCGGCGCCGGGGGCCTCCCGAGAAGCCCCCAACGGCGAAAACGGTGGAACGCAGAGGGTGGCTAGACGAGCGCGTTCCACTACTCGCAAAGTAGCTACTTGCAAATGGCCTTGATCCGCCGCGGGGGATCTACGATAACTTACATGGAAGCAGACGTGTGAGTTTCGAGCGTTTGCGAGTAGGCGCTTTGCGAGTAGTGGAACGCGCTCGGTGAGTGGAAGAAGAAACGACTGAACAAACATAAAAATTGGCGCTCCGCGCGGACTTCTTGGATCTGCGCTGGACGCCCATCCCTGGCGCGCGGATCCAAGAAGTCCGCGCGAAGCGCCAAAAGTTTTATGTTCGTGCCGATCTTCCTTCGTCGAGAGGGCCCGCCCGTCTCCCGGACACCAGCTGGCCAGTGATGGCGCCCACGATCGAGACGACGGCCGCCGTCTCTAGCATGGCTGGCGGCGGACCGCGCGCCAGTCCCGCCGGGGCGAGGCGCGTCGCTGGTGGGCGGCAGGTGTGCGGCAGGGGAGGAGGAGGAGGAGGAGGAGGAGGAGGAGGAGGAGGAGGAGGAGGAGGAGGAGGAGGAGGAGGAGGACCAGTGGAAACCGAAGAGTCATCAACGATGCTGGAATTTACCCTCCCTCCAAGCTTTCTCTCCACAGGCCCCTACATCGGTTCATTTCCATTGAGGGAACTGCCTCGTTGGAAGACAACAGTTTGAAGATCGATCCTGAAGCGTGCCAAAACATTGCTCTCGGGATTTCAACGCCACGTGTCAACCCGACTGCTGCGTCTCGACGATCCAGAACCGTGCCAGGACGCCGTTTTGGGGACTTCAACGCAGCGAATCCACATAATTGTTGCGCCCGCATAATCTGAATCCATCCAAAACACAAGTTCTGGTACGCTGATCATGGGAATCCCGGAAACTCTTGCAATTTTTAAAACGATTGTGCGCGGCGCTAAAGCGAGAGCCACATTTTGAAAACAACCACCCGCCCTCCATCTGCGAAGCTGTTGTCACGGTTTACGCTTCAGGGCCATCAATGCGGTAAAGAAGTCTCAAGCGAAACGTCCGGCCCGCCCTGAAAACTGGCCTCGGGGTGCGACAGGGAGGAGTTATCTAGAAGGAATGGAGGAGGAAGGGGGATGGTGGAGGAAGGACAGGAGGGAGGAGGAAGGAGGAGGGAGGAGGAAGATGAGGAGGGAGGAGGATGGTGGAGGAAGAGGAGGAGGAGGTGGCGGAGGAGGAGGAGGAGGAGGAGGGGGAGAAGGAGGGAGGAGGAGGAGGAGGGGAGGACGAGGAGGAGGGTGGAGGGTGGAGGGAGGAGGAGGAGGAAGAAGAGGAGGAGGATGGTGAAGGAGGGAGGAGGAGGAGGAGGAGGAGGGAGGAGGAGGAGGAGGAGGAGGAGGAGGAGGAGGAGGAGGAGGAGGAGGAGGAGGAGGAGGAGGAGGGAGGAGGAGGAGGAGGAGGAGGAGGAGGAGGAGGAGGAGGAGGGGGAGAAGGGAGGAGAAGGGAGGAGGAGGGAGGGGGAAGAGGGAGGAGGAGGGAGGAGGGAGGGGGAGGAGGGAGCGCACACCCTGGGCGGCAGGGTGTGCGGCGGGGGAGCACCGAGGAGGCAGAGTGCGGGGGTAGGAAGTCTGCGTGCCAGCCCCGGAAGCTGGAGCGGCCCTCTGAGGGGCAGGCGTGCATCTAGCAAGTTGATAGACCCAGACATGATCTCGTCGTTAAAAAATCAGGACGGGTGGTTTTTGGCCGTTTGCGGCCTTGGGGGGCCCTCGCCGGGCCCCGGGACCGTCCAAAAACGACACGGGATGGAAAACCAGTCCTGGGGAAAGGGTGGGGACTTCCATGGATCCCGTATTGAAAAAATCAGGACGTCGAATGTCTGTGGATTGCACCTGGTGGAACGCGCGCAGGGAAGCCAACTCTCACGCATCCAACGAGTCCCTCCATCTAAGACGCGGTCTCCCAACTGATGGCCTTGCCTCTGTCCGGAACCACAGCGTCCAGTTCAACACCCGTTTGCTCGATTTGTCCTCTGTGTCGAAGGAGATGACGAGGCAGAGGAGGGACACCAGATCTCCCCTCAGATCTGGGCGTAGCATTCCTTCACAACAACGGACATTTTCGCCTGGTCCAGGCTCCGAAACGCTCACATATCGATCTGGCTCGAACAATGGCGTTCCAGGATGGGAATCGGGGCTCTGGTCATGATGTTTCGTCACGTCCCAGACATGCGACGTCCTGATTTCTTCAGGACGGCGCCCCTGGAAGTCCCGACCCTTTCCCCAGGACCGGCTTTTCATCCCGAGTCGACTTTTACAGGCGAGGGCCCCCCAGGGCCGGAAATAGCGAAAAACTTGCCGTCCTGATTTTTGTTTACGACGCTATCGTGTCTGGGAGAGCAACGTCAGATCTCGTGGTCCGACGATATGATTTGTTCCCTCCCGGCGTTTTTCCTCGATGTGGGCCGCTGGAGGCGGCTATCAGGCCCCAGGGTCGCCAAAAACGGATCTGGGCCGCGCATTTGAAACATCACATCGCCAATGCCTCAAAGGCAGGAGGAGGGGGGTATGGAGGACGGAGCGGGAGGGAGGCGGGTGGCGAGTAAAGAGGACCGAGGGGAAGGAGACGGAGGGAGGTGGACGAGCGACGGAGGGAGGGGATGGGAGAGGAGGGAGGAGCCAGGAGGGGAGAGGAGGAGTACTGATGGAGGCAAGGAGGGGGGATAAACGCAGGAGGAATTAGGGTAGGGGAAGAGGGAGAGGAAGTGGAGGTGGAGGCTACGGAGGAGAAGGCGCTGACTCCTTTCCCAAGAGACCGTCGATGTGTCTGCTCCTCCTCTCTTTCCCTGGTAGATAACTGACACTCCTATTTGCCACGCCCCCAGTCGTGTCGTTAAGGCGGGCTGGGCATTTCGCCTGAGACTTCCTCACAAGTTGTAACCTAGAAGCTAGAAGTACGCAACAGCTGTAAGACAAGGGGAGGGTCAACATGTGACTGTCGCATTCGCGTTGCGATCGCTACTCTTAAAAGCTTCCTTCCGGCAGTAAGGATAGAGGTGGCTGTGTTCGAAATGGAGCTCTCGCTATGCGCGATAGCGCCGCTCACATTCCCCTCAAAAGTTGTGCAGCATCTATAGGGACGGAGGAAGTCGCTTTCAAAATGGGACTCTGGCCGTAGCGCCTCGTACATTTGTTTTAAAACCTGCGGCCGCTACGAGGATGGAGGGGGACTCTTTTTCAAACGTGCGCTCTCGCCTGGTCGCCGAGCACATTCGTCCTTCAAGGCCTGCAGCAATTGCAAGGATGGATGGGCTGGCTTCAAAACGGAGCATTCGTGCCGCGCGCATTCGCCTTACAAGCTTGCAGCAGCTACGAGGATCCTGGGCGGCTCCTTCTCATTGTGGGGCTTCGCCTCAGCGTCGGGCCCTGTCGCTGTCCTGCAGCAGCTGCCAGGCTGGAGGACTGCTCCCGCTGACTCTGGGGCGTTCGCTCGAGACCCCCTGGATATGAAGATCATCGCACTTTACAGACGGATGCACGGCGGCTCCTTCTCAAAATGGTGCTCTCGTTTCAGACTTCCTCGGAGCTCATTACCAGAGATCCGAGCTAGCGAAACGGTTACACGGATGGGGCCGCTGCGTCTTGAACACGGGAGCCTCGCTGGACACCTCGCCGAACTGCATTGCATACGCTTTCGCACACCATCTTACTCGCTAGAATGACGCAGAACAGATCCCTGTCAACACGGGGTTCTCGCCTGAATGGCCAGACTGGCGATAGGCCCCCGATGCCAAATCAATAACCCCCTGGGCGGGGCCGGGGGAATCGGGCCCCACACATCGGCGACCGCTGAGCGATTATGGTCAGGAACGTTTAAATCATCTGCCGCGGCGGCGGCCCCGGCGACTCGCCATGCCTCGAGAGCGGATACAGCGTGTCCTGCCCATCGCTCGGACGTCCATTCCCTATGCTTTGTCCGGCTTTGCGCGTGTTTTTTTCGCAGGCTGCTCCTTCATAGTCCCCGCCGAGAAGACATGCACACGTCCGAGCGATCCCGACTGTGTCGACCCGCTTCGCGGGGCAAGGCGCGATTGGCGTGCCTCGTCGGAACGCGGAGGCCAGCGCCGGCGGAGCGACACGTCGAGCTAGGGCTCCTCGCCAGGGCTGAGCCTGAGCGGTGTTCTTCGTTCTCGTTCTGAGTTCGTTGTCCCTCGCTTTTGTCTCGAATCCGGCTTTACCGCAAAACGAAGTCGGAACGAAAACGGCCCACGAAATCGCCAAAAAACACCGTTTAGGCCAAGCCATGCTCCTCACTGGAGGGGGACGATGCATCCCCCCTGAGCCTATCCTCAGGTCGGGCATGTCCCCCTAGAGGCGGATTTTGGGCGAAGAATAAACAATCTACCAAAAGTGCCCCAAAATTGCCAAAAACAGTCAAAATATCGTCCCCTGACTATTTTCTTACTATTTCTGAATGCTCCTCCTGTAGAGGGACACGCCCGACGTCGGCCTATCCCCCCCGTCGCTGCCCCAGGCCCCTGACGCAGGGCCGAAACCAGGACCCCCCTTTTCACGGCGACCTTAGCAGGGTGAGGGCATCGGATGAGGAACCCTTGGGCCAAAGACTCCAGGGGCTGAGAGCCGGTGGAACATCCACTTCGAGTAGGGAAACGACTACAAGATTGAATTGCCCCAGAATTGTGTCTCGTCGGATCTACTGAGAACAGACGTAACACGGTCGCACATCTACAAACAGTACACGTCTCTGTTTCCGACGATGCGACGGACACCGTACTTTTGGGGTTAACCAATTCTGTAGTCGATCCCCGACTCGACCACTGAGGCGTGGCCACGGACATCACCGCCGCCCTCGTCAGACAGCGAATCCTCCAGGGTCTGAAACCTCCTGGGCACCCTTCGAGTAGGGGATCGACTACAGGATTGATTCGCCCCAGAATTGATTCTTCTCGTCGGAACCACGGGCAATTCGTAGAACTTTCGCAGATCTGCGAACGTTGGGGTAAATCAATACTGTAGTCGATCCCCCAGTCGGACCCTGAACGAACGCCCCCCCCACCGCAGCACCCCCGACTCGCAACTGCGCGCCTTCCTCCGCGCAAAGAGAGCGCAGCGGCGCCCAAGAGGTCCTGGCAAACGCCCGCGGGAGATCGCGGCCGGCAGGAGAGCAAGGAGAGCGGCACCGCCTCACGTTAGGAGGCACTCCTCCTCCCCCCTTCCCCTCCTCCTCCTCCTCCTCTCCTCCCTCCCCTCCCTCCCTCCTCCCTCCCTCCCTCCCTCTCCCTCCCTCCTCCTCCTCCTCCTCCTCCTCCTCCTCCTCTCCTCTCCTCCTCCTCCTCCTCACCCCCTGGGAGGCCTTGGTTGAGGGATTCAAAAAACGGCCCTACCCTGGGTTACAAGTGCATGGTCTGTAAACCTCCTGGGGACGCCCAACGCCCAGAGAGCCGCCAGGACGCCGCTCATCACGCAGGGTTTGCCCTGTCGGCTCAGCCCACAGGAGGTTCAGCGCACAACGCCTCGTAAACCAGGGTAGGGGCGTTTTTTGTGCCCTTGCTTGGTGAGAACGACTGAAGGCACCTGAATTAAACGAGGCCAAGACATGGACAACGTCAGGCCGGGACCAGTCGGAGAGCTCTCTGAGATCCGACGGTTCTGGAGGATGCATCGGGCGCCGCGGCAGTTCCAGAGTGCTCCCAGATGCTCTGATCGGGCCGGGCGAAAGGGGGGGATAGCAAAGGGGGAGTTTGAGAATCAGCTCACGTAGCTGATTTTTCCGGCGCCTCCCTGCGCTGGAGCGGCCATGTATCGCGGAATGGGCCCCTCGGCGGGGCCGAAACCAGCTGCATGCAGCAGATTTCGTACCCCCCCCCCTTTCCCTATCCCCCCCTTTCGTCCGGCCCGACTCACGTTAGGAGGCAACCCCTGGGAGGCCTTGGTTAGAACGACTGAGGGCACCTGAGTAAGACGAAGCCAAGACATGGACAACGTCAGGCCGGGACAAGTCGGAGATCTCTGAGATCCGACGGTTCTGGAGGATGCATCGGGCGCCGCGGCAGTTCCGGAGCGCTCCCGGATGCTCTGAGAGCGTTCCAGAACGCTCTGGAACGATGTATCCCTGTCTTAGCCCCGCCGAACTACGGGCTACTGTGCCCGATTGTGAAGCGCACTGGGCCAGACTGGGCTGGATCCGGCCCAGGACTCAACCAGATTCGGCGGGACCGAGCTGGACTCAACCGGATAGGTGCCGAATTGGGCCTACCAATGGTTAAAGGCTTAATGACTTCTGCCGTCCATCGACTCACGCTGGACCGGCCACGACTTGCTCCAAATCCCACCAGCCCTTTGGGCGTGAGTGGTTTAGAGAGCCCGCTCTGTCCTCAACCCCCCTTCTTCCCCTTCGGGGAGGGGTTTACCCCTCCACAATTACACAATTTGAAAATACTCTCCCACTTCCCCTGATGGCGTCCGGAAGATATTCGGCACCCCCCCGCGTACTGTTTTTTTACACACAGGATTCCCCGGAAGGGGTTTTCGCTTGTGTTTTTTTTCTAAAATGCTGCTCTCGCTGAGGCGCCGGCCTCATTTCTGCTCCCGAATCGTTCCGAATCGTGCTCCCGCTGCAGCGTGGGCCTCATTTTCGGATCGGTGTTTGGCCTCCGTCGTTCAGGATGGCGTTCTCGCCCCAGCGCGGGCCTCTTTCTCGCGCGCCCATCCGCCCGCCACCACCGCGCCGCACCACCACCACCACCACCACCACCACCACACCAGCACCAGCACCAGCACCAGCACCAGCACCAGCACCAGCACCAGCACCAGCACCAGCACCAGCACCAGCACCAGCACCAGCACCAGCACCAGCACCAGCACCAGCACCAGCACCAGCACCAGCACCAGCACCAGCACCAGCACCAGCACCAGCACCAGCACCAGCACCAGCACCAGCACCAGCACCAGCACCAGCACCAGCACCAGCACCAGCACCACACCACCACGCACACACGCACGCACGCACGCACGCGCACCACCACCCACTAATTACGCACGCGCGCGCGGAGCCACAGATCCGCTACGACACGCGTCCGCGGATAGAGAAAATCAGCGCCATGGTAAGGGATGGGAGGGAGGGGTAGGACGTCAGATATGACGCGAGCGCACCTAGCTTGCCCTACCCCCTCCCCCTGGGCCTGGAGAGGGCGGGCCGAGTGGGATCAAGGGGGTCTTTTTCGACTCCTGGGAGGGTCAAAAAACGACGACCCTCACGAGGATTCTGGCCCCCAGGGGGGGGGACCGTTAGGCGCCTCAGACCGTCTTTGAAGCAAAAAACATTGATTTTACTATGGTTTTGGCCCCATTTTGGCCTCCTGAGGGGGCCGCGCTCCTCTTCCTTCATAGCAAAATCATTGATTTTACGAAGGTTTTGGCCTCATTTTGTCCTTCTCAGGGGGCAGCTCTCCTTTGCGCTTCTGCGGAGGTCGCAAGAGGCCCCAAGATGGCCCCAAGAGGCCCCCAGGAGGCTCCCAAGAGGCCTCCAAGAGGCACCCCAGAGGCCCCCAAGCGGCCCCAAGAGGCCCCCAAGAGGCCCCCAAGAGGCCCCCAAGAGGCCCTACGAGGCCCCAAGAGGCCCCCAAGAGGCCCCCAAGAGGCCCCCAAGAGGCCCACGACGCCCCAAGAGGCCCCCAAGAGGCCCCCAAGAGGCCCCCAAGAGGCCCCACGAGGCTCCAAGAGGCCCCCAAGAGGCCCCACGAGGAGCCCGAACGACTCACATCAGGACGAGGGGCCCGAACGACTCACACCACGAAGAGCCCGAACGACTCACACCACAAGGAGGGGCCCGAACGACTCACACCAGGACGAGGCGCCCGAACGACTCACACCACGAGGAGCCCGAACGACTCACACCACGACGCGGGCCCCGAACGACTCACACCACGAGGAGCCCGAACGAGTCACACCAGGAGGAGGGGCCCGAACGACTCACACCAGGACGAGAAGCCCGAACGACTCACACCAGGACGAAGAGCCCGAACGACTCACACCACGAAGAGCCCGAACGACTCACACCAGGAAGAAGGGCCCGAACGACTCAGACCAGGACGAGAAACCCCAAACGACTCAAACCACGAGGAGCGCTTTCTCTCCCTCCTCCTCCGCCTCGTCCTTCTCCCGCTCCCCCCACAAGGAGGATGTACAAGGAGGCGGGAGGAAGGAGGAACAGGGGAGATATGCGGGGCCAAGCGGACACACGCCTGAAAAACACGACTGTCGGCATGCTTCGCGAGAGTTGCTGCTGTGAGATGGGCTGGTGGGGATACGCGAAGCGTGAAGAATTTCCCTGAGACCTCTGGATTCACTTGGATTTGCAACGATGTACTCCAGATTTCGTAATAAAAGGGAGGGGGTCTGGACCCTCCAAGACAAGCCATTTCAGACCTCCCCCGTGGGAGAACCCTCCAAAACATCGTCCCCAGACCCCCCCGTCCCTCCAAGATAGCCTGGAAGAGACCCCCCCCGAAATGAGACCCCCCTCCCTTTATTACGAAATCTGGAGTACATGGAATTGCTTGGACTTATCTGCAGTTCTCTGCTGGCCTTCTCCGGCTCGCTCCCCACCAGTCGAGTGGCGAAACGTCGTCAAGCCCTGAGAAGAGCCAGCGCCAATGCCGAATGGGACCTCCCAGTGGAGCTGCGCCCCGGCTCACGGCAGAAGGGGTTCCCGGTCAGACGACGCGGGGGGAGGGATATGGCCAAGGGGGGGCTATAGTTAGGTCGGGCATGTCCTCCTACCGGCGGAGTTTGGAAGAAACGCTCAACCATCGCAAAAAAATGCTCAACCGGAGCCCAAAGAGCACGAACAATCGTCACCAGACTATTTTTCGACTGTTCTTGCATTCCCCTCCTGCAGAGGGTCATGCCCGACTTCAGGTTGTGGCGAGGCAGCCCACGCAGCGGGTTCCCCCAGCGCCTCCCGCCGCCAGAGGCGACAGGACGTCGCCCTCGAGGAAAGGGCGCCCGGCAGCGAGGCCAACACCAGCTGCATGCACGCACGGCAGGCTCGTGCGGCTTCGGTGGAGCAGGGTTCGACCGCCCCGGCAACGTGCTCGTACAGCGCAACAACCCAGAGCTCCCAGGATCTGTTTGTTATTCAAATCCGGCATCTCTTCTGGTGGACACCCTAACAATCCGATCGTTGAATCAAACATGTGTTCAAAAGGTGTAAACATGTAATGAAAATATATCAAACCTGTTTTTTTTTACAAATTTCAAATATGTTTGAACCATATTGGCAGCCAGCATGCTTCCTCTCCATTATAATCGACTTCCACGACGCTGCCAGGCTCCGGGACCACCAAACATGGATCCGGGGCGGGGCAAACCACCCCAGGGGAAGGGAGCGGGACTTCTGGGGCCGCGGATCGAACAAGAAACAGGCCGGCGGATGTCAGGGAATGTTCTTTAAACCGAGAACAATGATTCCAGAACGCGAGCCCGAAGCGTTAGCACAGTGCAGTCCCAGCCAGAGAGGTTCTAAGAACAATGTTCTCAGAATGTTCTAAAACCAAGATCGGCGGATGCCTGGGAATGTTCTAAAACCAAGAACAATGTTCTCAGAACACGAGCCCGAAGCGTTAGCACAGTGCAGTCCCAGCCAGAGAAGTTCTAAGAACACGTCGTGCAAACCGCAAGAATCTCTTTAAATATGTTCTGGTGGGCCTATAATCCGGCGGTGTCGGCAGGCCAGGACGCCTCGCCACTGCTCGAGTCGGCGCGCGCAAAGGTTTTTCACGCCGCGTCGATCGTTCAACCTTGAACCGATGACAACCCTGATCGTTCAAGGTCGATTTCAGTCGGGTCCAGTGGCGTAACCGCGCCCATCTGTGCTTCCGCGTCGCAGAATTCAGCCTTGAGCGCCTTCGCCTGCGTCGCCAGCGCACCAACACCGCACGAGTCAACCGCAGCAGATTCCGGACCACCTCACTGTCCCCCATCCCCTCAACATGACGACCAAATATTAATATTTTCATATTTTTGGACGCCCGAAATGGGCACGGAAAAATGGGTACAATACCCAAAAGGAAATGTTGTCCCAAACCAGCTAACACCGGCCGCTGTTGGGCAGGCGGCCTTCTGTCTCAAATGAACACAGGCCGCGGCGACAACAACAGCGAGTCCTGTTCAAAATGAACATGAACTGCTGTCGGTCTTTGTACCCCTTCTTTCCGTACCCATTTCACGTAGCTGGAAACGCTCTGTTTGGTACGAGTTCCACTCCTGATGCCCCTCCGACGCCGGCTCTATGGGTGTAAGCTCACGGCCCGCTGGCCATATGTGCGAGGGGCCAGGCCCGTTCAGCCCTTCAAGGGCCACTGGCGATCGCCCGAACGAGCGTCCCATTCCATTCCCGTTCCCATTCCACCAGAGGCATCGCATTCCCGTTCTATTCCCATTCCATTCCCATTCCCATTCCCACTCCCATTCCATTCCCATACCAGTGGCATCGCATCCATTCCCAACCCATTCCGATTCCATACCCATTCCCATTCCGAACGATCGCCCAATCGAGCGTCCCATTCCACTCCCATTCCATCAGAGGCATCCCGAGCGTTCCGAGTAGATGGGGTCGGAGGATCTTACCATATCTCCGATGCAGTTCCATACATCGCCGACGCAGCGGCGAAGCATCGGCGATGCACCGGCACCGTCGCCGGTGCGTCGGCGACGTCGGCGTGGAGAAATCGGACTCCACATCGAGCCGCGTCGCCGATGGAACGACGGTGCGGCGCGATCTTTCGACCCAATCTACTCGGACCCAACCGGGATGCCTAGATTTGGGGGACGACGAACGCTATAACATAAACGTTCCAGCCGCCCTGAAGCAGGCGCCCCCCCTGGCGAACAAGCTTATCTAATCCTGTTCTTCGTCCGCTAATAGATTCATTCCCAATCCATTCCCTTTCCATCCCCATTCCCATTCCCGTTCCTCTCCCATTCCATTCTCATTCCCCAGACATGCTCGGGTCCTGAACAAAAACCATGAAAGGGTGAGTGACAACGATGGGGGAGAACGGCATAGGGAAAGGGGGAAACATCGGCCTGGAATCGGCAATACACCGCCCACAGATCGGCGATTGGCCCCCGGTAGCACATCCTCACGCTCCTGGGCGGGGTGGGGATACCGACCCCCCTCGGCGACGATCGGGGGGTCGATGCATCCCCCGGAGGCGGACGGCGGAAGGCAGCAGGCGGGGGAACGGAGTCTGGAATGGATCGCGGGAAATCCGCCGTCATCATCAGCGCGCCACCAGGCGAAACCATGACAATACAGTGAACGCACCCAGGGAAGGAATCGAACAGGGGAGGTACTCCCCCCTATCGTTGTCTCTGATGGGGGCCCCTCCCAGGCCTCGGGATCGTCAGATCGGCTGCACGCAGGAGCGACCCCAGGCGAGAGCGACCTTTAGCGCGCGGCCAAGGGGGGAGCCTACTTACCAGCCTGGAACAGATCCCTATCCCTATGCTGGGCACCTCCTCATCACGATGCCAATCTTAGGTATTCCCTTTTTTTTGGAGGGCGAATCCCTAAGATTGTCATCGCCTTTTGGCGTGTCAATCTTAGGGATAGGGATACGTTCGAGGCTGGTAACTAACCTATGGGAGCACCACCAGGCGCGCAAGCCGCTGCTGTCGCATCGCCCTCAGCCATCGGGGGGCCCCACTGGGCCCGCACCCGCAGGCCACTCGGGCGCAAGGTCACTCTGACGTGTCGTCGACCAAAGACCGACTCGAGATGAAGAACCAGTCCCGAGGAATGGGTCGAGACAACGTCACAGACCCCCGACGGCGTGATTTTTTCATGACGCGACCCCCGGAAGTTCGGACCCCTTCCAGGGGACCGGTCCTTCTTCCCGAGTCGTTTTTGGACGGCGCCGAGGCCCGGGAGGGGCTCCAGGAGCCCGAAGATCGCGAAAAACCTCCCGCCGTGACTTTGTGTGCTCGCGGCGCGAGGGGGTCTGGGATGGGGGGGTCGACGTGATGACAGAAAGCATGGCGTCGGGGTTCTGGGCAGAGGGCCCTGCGCAGCGGCGGCGTGCCAGGGCGCCTCCGCCCCGGCCGAGGAGAAGGGCGCGCCGGACGGCGGAGCAGCGAGGACGCGGGGACAGCAGGCGACCACGGCCACATCGAGGGCGCAGCTTGGGGGATGTCTTGCGCAGGCCGAAGATCCCAGACCCCCTCGCATGGTGGCAACAAAAAAAATCACGGCGCGAGGTGTTTTTGGTATTCTCGGCCTCTGTAGGGCCCCTTGCTGGGCCTCGGGGCCGTCAGAAAACGACTCGGGATGAAAAACTGGTCCCGGGGAAGGGGTCCAGACCTCTGGGTGTCGACGTTATGAAACAATCACGACGTCGGGGGTCTGGGATAAGCGCCACGCCCGGAGGGGGGAAGTGGAAAGGGGCGAGCCTTCTCGGAAGGCTCGGACGTTCCCCAGCCTTCTGAGGAGTGCTCGAAGCCTCCCCCGAAGACACGGAGCACTGCTCAGAAGGCCGGAGGGCTTCTGAGAACGCCGAGACCAGCTTCGTGCGGGTTGTGGTCGATGTGGCGTCCCAGGACGGCCAACTCGACCATCCCTGACAGCCGATGTTGCCAAAAAATACAACATCGCAAAACAAATCACCACCTGAACCCCAGACCTCATCTTTCTTCGTCATTTTTCAAGCCAGATCGATCTGCGAGGGTCCCGGGGCCCGGAACCGAGCGAAAACGCCCGTTGTGAAAAAATTGCCACGCCCGGATCTCAGGGTCAAGTGCCCATGTCGAGGTCGGTGGGTTCTCCCCAGAAGGGCCCTCCCGAAGAATCCGCTTCGCTGTGGTTGTGGTTCTCTGCTGCGCCCGGAGAAGAGCCGCCCGGGCAGATCTAGAAGCTCCCGGAGGTGTCCGCGGCGGCAGGCCCGTCTCAGAAGGCCTTGCGCAGCGGCGACGCGCCGGGGCCGCCGAGCAGGAACATGGGCGCCTCCACCTCGTGGGAGGAGCAGGGCGTGTATACCCAGACGCCCTCGAGCTGACAAAAATCACGACGCGTGACTTTTCGCTACTTTCGGCCTCCAGGGGCCCTCACTGGGCCTCGGGACTGTCAAAAGACGACGCAGGATGAAAAGCCAGTCCACGGGAAGGGGTCCCACGTTCTTAGGGTCACGTCTTGAAAAAATCACGACGCCGGGGGTCTGGGTAAGCATACAATCGAAACGTGTACTAAGGACGGGTGGCGAGGACGCAGGACCCTTGGAGGCCGAAGTTGGATTCTTTTGGGCGGCGGGCGACCAGCGCAAACGGCGAAGGGCGGGCCGCAGAGGCAAGGACACAAGGGTCCCCTAGACGCAGGCGCGCGTCCTTACTAGGCGCGCTGACTGCAGTTTCTCGACGGTCCGCGCGGGTTTCTTGGATCGGCGCTTCGGCGCTGCGGCAGCGCTGGACCGCCCTCCATGGCGTGCGGAGCGCGCCAGGGGAGGCGCCGCCCGGGGGAGGGCCAGCGCGGTCCGAGAAATCCGCGCGGGCCTCCGAGGGACTTCGGATGCTTTGTGCTCTTCTGTGCCCGGTGCTCCGCGCCTTGGCCGAGAACGAGGGCGCGCCGGAGGGCGGAACAGCAAAGAGGCCCGCGGGAGCAGGAGCACCGCCAGAGGTCCGCCAGGGCTTCTCGGGTCGACACCAGGAAGACCCACGATCGGCGACGACGACGACGCCGGCGACGACGACGACGCCGGCGACGACGACGACGACGACGGCGACGGCGGCGACGACGACGACGACGGCGACGACGACGGCGACGACGACCGACGCCCGGCGGCCAGAGCCGAGGCCTGCACAAGGAAGCCCGCACCGAGGTCGGGGTCCGGGGTCGAGTCGCATCGGAATCGAAATCCGCGGCCTCGGATCGCCTTTGATCGGCGGCGAGCGAGGGGGGGGAAGTGAGGAGGAGAAGTCCTTGACTCTCAGAAGTCTCGGGAGTGCCCCGACCTTCTGAGAAGTGCTCTGAGCCTCGCCCCGAAGACATAACAAGAACTTCTCAGAAGGCGCGAGGGCTTCTGAGAAGTCCCGCCGCCTTCTGAGAAGGCCTTCTCCTTCTCACTTCCACCCCCTCGATCGCCGCCGATTCCGATTTGAGATCCCCGAAATCGAAATCCTCGGGATCGAGTCGACTCTAGTCGAAAGGGTTGAGGAAATGTCCCTGGGTCGCCCCCAGGCGCGAGGAGCGCGCAGCCGGCGCCGCCACGCTGGGAGAGGTCCGTCGCCGAAATCCGAAGGGTCCACGCGGGCCCCGGGAAGAGGTCCCAGACGTCCGAGGGATTGCTTGCCGTTCCACTACGGTGATCGGCGGCGAGCGAGGGGGAGAAGTTTCGGATTCGAGGTTCGAGGTTCGAGGACGCTTTCGTTGGTTCTCGGCGGTTTTCTGGCCTCGGGATGCGCCTCAGGATGCTTGTCAGCAGCTACGCCTCGCCCTGCTCGCATTCTGCCTCACAGGCGGGCGCTCCATGGTCTGCTTCACAGCCGTGTGGCGCCCTGCTTTCCGTGTGTGAAATTCCCGAATAGCTGCCAGTCGTGCGCTCCTCTGCCCACGCGTCCTTCCAGATGCTCGGTTCTAGGGTGGTGGGTGGTTCGACAAGGGACGCCTACCCGGGATCATCGGCGACACATCGTCGACACATCGGCGAACGGCCCCCGATAGGGAATCCGCACGCTCCTGGGCGGGGCGGGGAGGGATCGGGCACGCGTCTCGGGGATCGATCGACGAGGAGGGGTCGATGCATCCGTCCCCACCCTGTGCGCCGCACCCCCCCCCCCCACCCCTTTCGCCGCACCCGGCCCCTGATCCCTGGCCCAAAGCCAGGAGCCCCTTCACGGCGACCGTACTACGGTGAAGGCACTGGAGAATCCTGGTATCCTGGCGTGTATTTTTGTTTCGAGCCGGGCGTGTTCGCCAGGTTTCGGGCCCTGGGACTCTCACAGATCGATCGAGCTCGAATCATGGAATCGGTCGTGATTTTTCTTGCGATGTCTCAAGCCTCAAGAAAGGAACCCTTGGATACGGAATCCAAGGTCTGAAAGCCGGTGGGACACCTATTCAGGCTTGGCCATTGACTGCACCGCTGGCCTCGTCAGATAAGGAAATTTCCAGGGTCTGAAGCCTCCTGGGCACACCCCTTGACGAACAACTCCACCGTAGGGGGTCAACGGAGGTCCCGACCTTCCTCCCAAGGGCCGGCGCTTCCGCTCGGGTGGTTCCTGTTGACGGCCCCCGGGCCGGGCGGGGGCTCCTGGAGCCCGAAGCACGGCAGGACACCTCCCGTCGTGATTTTGATCGCGGCGCGAGCACGTCTTGGCTTTCGGGCCATAGCTCCAGCCTCCGGCGGCCGCTCGGGAGGATCCGGGCACCCCTGGCACGCCCTCGGCGGGGCGCAGCTGCTGGAGGGCACCCCGAGGCTGGAAGACCGCCGAGGACCGACGGGGCAGCCCGAAAACCATGAGAACCCTCCCGCCGTGATTGTTGTATGTCTGGACGTATAATGTTTGTGGATGCCATGACAACAGACACTCTAACAATCCGATCATTTAATTAAAGATGTTATTTCTGTCATGTGTGAAACATGTTCTAAAGCATGTTCCAAACAGGTTTGTGTATATATCTAAAACATGTTTGAAACATGCCTTAGACATCTGGAAATTATTTGGCAACATGATTCCTCTCCATTAATCAACTTCCACACTTCTACCTCCGTCTCTTCTTTTCCGTCTCTCCCCATCGCTCGGAAGTCCATTCGCCGTGTTTTTGCTCCCCGTTTCGTGCGTGCTCTTTTGCCCGATGATCCAGGATGCTCCTTGATGGTCCTCGCCCCCGCGTCTGCATGCTGGGCCCAATTCGTGGCGCTCGTGGCCCGCCCAGTCTTGCACGTGGGGGCCCAGCGCGATCCAAGTAATCCGCGCGGAGCGCCAACAGTTTATGTCGGCTACACGCAAGAGCGACCCTGGGCAAGAGTGACCTTTGGCGCGCGGCTCTTCGGGGGGCCGCGGGGTGGCCAAGCCTGGGCGGGGGACCCGATTGGGCCCGCATCAGAGGTCACTCCGGCGAAAGCTCACTCTTACGTCCAGCCGCTTATGTTTACAGCGTTGATTTCTTCTTCGATGGCCCGCGTGACTGTTTTGCTGTTCCGGGATGCCCTTTTGCGTGGCCGCCGCCGCGGGTGGATGCCTGGCCTGGCCCGCGGGCCGCCCGCCGCGGCGGCGGCAAAGTCGGCCGGCTCGCCGCGCTCGGTGCGCCGCGGCGAGGCGGTCAGCACGTGGTCGACCTGCAGGGGAGCAGAACAGGAGGCCTGGAGATGATGGCACCAAGACCAGCACACCCAAACCCCCTCGGGTCACGAAAAAGTCATGGCGAGAGGTTGTCTTCTATCTTCGGCTTCTGGGGGCCCTTACCGGCCCTCGGGACCGTCAAAAACGAGTCAGGATGAAACACTGGTCCCGGGGAATGGGTCGAGACCTCCATGGGCCGACGCTATGAAAAAATCAGGACGTCGGGGGTCTGGGCAGGGCGTTGTCCTCACCGAGGAAAGATCATCCCAGATTTCGGTGCCGGTGGTGATAGCTCGGCGACCCAGGAAGCCCGAAACTTGCCGCCGCCACCGAGATCGGGATCATGCTGCCTTGGTGGAGGCACACCGCCGCCATTGGTGTTGACGTCATAATATGTCATACTCTGGGTCCCCGACAGAAGACGGGAGAACAGTCTCTTGGGCGTGGCGCCAGAAGGGGGTGGGGCGATAAATGGGAGGGGGGGGGGGCAAGCAGCGTGCACCCGTCGTGCCCCTTCGGGGGCCCCAGTGGGCCCTGTTCGGGGCCCCTGCAGTGCGCGAATGGTGCCCCCTTCTTCGTCCCCCCGTTGACCGCCCCCCCCCCCGATTCTATGGTTGTGGATGCCAAGACAATGGACACCCTAACAATCCTATCGTTGAATTTTAAATGTGTTCAAAATGTGTAAGACATGTTCTACACATGTTTCAAGCATGTTCTCAACATATTTAAAACATTGTTTAGACATCTGGAGATTATCTGGCAGCATGCTTCTTCTCCTTTAACCGACTTCCACAATTCTATGGAATGCCCCACGTGCCAGCAGGCGCTTGCGACGTCTCCGCTGGTGCCCAACGGCTTCCAGCCTCGGGATGCCTCTCGCCCAGGCCCCCGCCGTCGTGATCTTTTCATGACGTCGACCCCCAAGGAAGTCTGGACCCCCAAGGAGGTCTGGACCCCCAAGGAGGTCTGGACCCCCAAGGAACGTCATCCGGACTCGTTTTTGACAGTCCCTGCCTGGGGCCCAGGGAGGGCCTCCAGAGGTCGACATCAGCGAAAAACCGCCCGTCGTCGATTTTCTTCGCGACGCGAGGGCGTCTGGGAAGGCTTCCAGCCTCGGGGTGCCTTTCCGCGGCGGCGCCTCGTCGAGGGCGCTCCTCCGGGGATAGCCATGCCAGGCTCGTCTGCCGAGCGACCACCCCCACAGAGGCTCCGCGAGATGTGCGGCCCGAAGACGCGGTCGAGCTCGACTCTGGCTAAAGCCCGTTCTCGGGCCCCGGGTTGGGCGCGAATTCGCCCGGTGGGCGAGAACTGGGGGGGGGGGAGGGAGGTGCCCTTCTCCGGGGGGGGGGGGGGGGGAGAGAGAGGTGCCCTGCTCGATCCCAAAAGGCCCGATGTGGGGCCCGAAAGGGCACCTTTAGGCTTTACGGGCCGGGCCCTGAAGGGCTCCTTGTCGGCAACCCGCGCTGCCCACTGCGCCCCCCCCAACCGGCCCTTCATCGGCACCCCATTACGCGGCCCCCAACCGCGACTAGCACAACAGGATCCAGGGCGAAAACCTCACCCTGCAGAAGGGGTCGGGAACTCTGGCGCCACGGGCTGGCAGGACTCATGCCGTCGGCTGTCTGGGAACCCCTGGAGGCCCGCGCCGGCGGCTCCCGGGCCGGCACGGGGCTCCCCCGCCGGAGGCGCCGTCGGGGTCGTGGGGAGTGGGGCTTCAGGACTGGCCTGAGGAATCCGCGCGGACCGAGAGTTTACAGTTGTGCATGCCAGGACACTGGACACCCTAACAATCCGATCATGGAATGAAACATGTGCTTAAACGGTGTATAAAACATGTTATAGACGTGTTTCAAACATGCTTTACTATATATATATATATATATATATATATATATATTAAACCGGTTTGAGACATGTCTTCGACATCTGGAAATCACTTGGCAGCCTGCTTCCCCTCCATTAATCGACCTCCACGGGCTTGCGGCGAGGCACATTGTGCCTCGCGTGCCGCGGCGGCGGCCGCGGCGACACGCTGCGCCGCGCAAGTAGACGGCGCGTCCCTCCGCCTCGGGGCTTCGGCAGGCCCGGGGCGCCGACGCCCGGGTCCATGGGACGCGGCCCGCGCGTGGCGCCGACGAGCGGCGGGCCCGGAGCGAAAGTTCTCGACCGCAGGTGTTGGGTCGGGCATGTCCCCCCTACAGGGGGAGTTGGGATGAAGAAGAAAGAATGGTCAAGCCATACCCCCAGATGCAGGGGGCAAACACAAACCTACCTCGCTCTTGACCACCCTCGCTCTTCCAAGAGATGCCGAGCGATGCCAAACTACGGCCTGCACTGGTCCGGCCGCTCGACGAGGAGGCGCGTGGCATGACTTGGCTCTGCCTGGAAGCGAAAGCGGGGCAGGGCATTCACGCTCTGAAAAACAGCCGAGCGTAGCCCACACATCGTCCCCTGACTATTGCTGTGACAGGAGGAGGAGGAGGGAGAAGGAGGAGGAGGAGGAGGAGGGAGAAGGAGGAGGAGGAGGAGGAGGAGGAGGAGGAGGAGGGAGGAGAAGGAGGAGGAGGAGAAGGAGGAGGAGGGAGGAGGAGGAGGAGGAGGAGGAGGAGGAGGAGGAGGATTCTGTGGCCCGACTCGAGGCAGGTGCCGCCGCTCCGTGCTCCCCTGCGACCCGCGGCTTCCCCGGGGCGCCGTAGAGCAGGCAGGACGAGCCCGCGGGCGGGCGCGGAGCGGGCTCCTGTCGGGCGTTGGCAGAACTGGGTTTAGGGGGACCTGGTTCAGCGATTCCGATCCCTATTTTGGGCTTCGGGGGCCAATCACTAAGCGGCTCCCCTTAACGGGGGCCCTGGCTATACCCGATCCTGGGGTGGGGGGGCGCGAACTGGGCTTAGGTCGGGCACGGCCCCCATACAGGCGGATTTTGGGGCGAAAATGCAACATGCTCCCAAACATGCGCCCAAACAGTCCAAACATACGACAAGATATCGTCCCCAGACTATGCTTCGACCATGTTGGAACGCTCCTCCTGCAGAGGGACGTGCCCGACCTGAAACTGTGCACAGGAAGTCGCCCGGTCGGCCGAGGAGCTCGGGGCATGCACGCTCCGGCTACCAGAGCAGGTGGGGCGCAAGAGCGCCTGTGCGCTTGGGCCCGTATCCGAGTTGATTGGCATCTTGGCGGCCTCCTGCCCGACCCAGCGACGTGGAGTCTGCCGTATAGACCCATACCTCCGACGTCTGGACTGGTTTCACCATGCTGATCAGCACTAAAAGAAGCCCCTGACCCTTTGAGAGGGGGCCAACGTTGGGAGGGCCAAGCATTTGGGAGAAGGGGGTCTTTTGCTGCAGATGTACTAAGCCAATCCGCCCAGATCTATCATCTCCGATGCAAACGACGGGGACCTAGATGAAGCCACAACCTCACTCTGTTGTTCGGTTGGGGGTTCATCGATCCTCGATGGGATGTGCCCCCGGGGATCTCGACCCCTTCCTCGGGGCCAGCTGGCCAACTTGTCATACGGAAGCGTCCCTTCCTGGCCCGGGAGCCTGGCCGTGACACGGCCCCACCTAGGGTCAGGTCGGGCATGTCCTTCTACAGGCGGAGTTGGAAGAGAAATGAAAAATTGTCGAAAGATATTCAAACATGTTCGACAATTGTAGGACAATCGTCCCCAGACTATGTTTGGACTATCTTTGAATATTCCTCCTGCAGAGGGACATGTCCGACCTAAACCTAGGGACCGAACATGTCATCTACAACCTGCCTCCACGGTGCCTTCACACGAAGCGAGGGCGCCAGGGACCAGCATCCGCACAACAGGCCCCTGGACCTCCCTCTCCTCCCCCTCTTCCTGCTCCTCCGCCTCCTCCTCCTCCTCCTCCTCCTGCTCCTCCCCCGCCTCCTTCTCCTCCTCTTCCTCCTCCTCCTCCCCCTCCTCCTCCCCCTCCTCCTTCTCCTCCTCCTTCTCCTCCTCCTTCTCCTCCTCCTTCTCCTCCTCCTTCTCCTCCTCCTTCTTATGGCCAACTTCTCGAACCACGCTCGGCCGCGGCGAAGAACAGAGGCACAAACCGAAGAACAAGCAACATCAGCAGCATCCGTCACGCCCAGAGCGCTCGCACCCAGAACGACGAGAAACGTGCCGTCGCGACTTCTGCGTGTGACTCACACAGATGCGGCTACAGCGCGCTTTTCCGTCTGAGTCATCGTCGTCGCCGCCAACGGCCCCGTCCCCGCTCTTCCCCTTGCCTCAACCATCCTCCTCATCCTCCTGCTCCTCCTCTTCCGATTCCTCCTCCTCCTCCTCTTCATCCTCCCCGTCCTAGCGAACAGTATCGGCGGCACCGGCCGTAAGGCCTTCGCAATCCGTCGCACCCAAAGCGCTCTCACACAAAACGACGACAAGCATGCCGTCGTGATTTTTGTGTGCGGCTCACAGAGCTGGTACATCGAGCCTCTCGAACGCGGGGGTGCGTCAAAACGCTCGACGCGGGACAGCGGGTAAAAACACACCTGCAAAAACCAGCACGTTCAAATGAACCCGTCCACGTCCAGCGAGTGTATTTTCCGCAGCGCAATGTGTTCTTTCCGCATGCCCACATCCTGTGCGCGAGTGTGCGCGTGAATGTGTGGATGCGTGTGCGTGCGAGCCGCTGTATTTCTGCGCCATCCCCTGCCCCCAGACACCCTGGCAGTCCTCGGCTCCTACAGGGCGCACCCTTCCCCGTTGGTGGCCCCGCTGCTTGGACGCAGCTGCATGTGCCTCCCCTGCACTCCCGCGCCGGCCTGCCTGGTCACCAGGCCCCTCCGTGCTCCTCTCGCTCTCTCTGCTGTCGGCCTCGTGCCTTTGTTCGCTTCCGGTGCAGCCCACCGCTCGCCCTGATCGGCGCCTGACCATCTCGCACACCTCGGCGCGCACGGACTTACACGTGTAAGTGTGTGTGTGTGTGTGTGCGCGCGTCTGGGGGGGATGTGTGCGCGCAAGGGCGTGAGTGTTGAGTGTGGTGTGATGCGCGATGTGTGAGGTGCGCGGTGCGTTCGTGTGAGTGCGCGTGCGTGCGCACGGCGTTGGCATACCGCGCGATCGTGGCGCACGTGCGCCACGATCGCGAGCTAAGAAAGACAACTACAATAACAGCAGCGGCAACAGCAACAACGCCAACAACAGCAGCAACAACAACACCAACAGCAGCAGCAGCAGCAACCACAGCAACAATCACAACAGCAACAAACATCAACAATAACAACCAACACACACCAAACACAAATCAACAAACAACAGCAACTAACGCAACACACAAAGCGACAACACACGTACTGGGCATGACAACGATACCACGAAGGCAAACATACATGTATAGACATGCGCATGAACATATACACATACATATGTATGTACACATATAGACGTGTACATATATATATATAGATATAGGTATAGGTATCGATGTGTATCGATGTACTCCTATTCATCCATTTGTGCAGTGCCGGGGACCCCGAAAAAAAAAAGGAAAGAAAAAAGACGCCCCCACCACACACACACACCTAACAACTTTGGCCCACCCCGGGCCTCTCGGGCAACCCTCCAGACGACCTGGGAGAACCCCACGAGAGCCCGAAGACGGTCCCAGAGGGCTCCAGGCGTTCCAGCGCACTCCCGAAACGAACCCAGAGAGCCTCTTCGACTACCCCCAAGAAGCCGTCATATCCCCCAAGATCGCTCCAAAACGTCTCAAGAGGCCTCCAAGAGCACTCCCAAGGCCCCAAGAGGCTAAATTCATTGATTGTCGATTGGTGTTTGGTGAATGTGGGGGTTCTCCTCTTTTCGGCTTCCCGACGCTCCAAGACGGCGGTCTTCTGGGCGTCCGAAGCGCCTGGGCGGCTCAAAAGTCGCCCCACAACCATCCGAAAGGGCTTCCAGGAAGTCCGTCCAGGAGAGCCCCTGGACGGCATAACAAGATTCCAAGATGGCCCAAGAGAGCCCCATGACGGCCCAAGATGGCCTCGAGACACCCTCCGAAGCATTCCAAATCGTGACCCGGTCGTTCACGGAGACCGCGGTTGGAGGCAGGGTGGCCCGAGGAAGACCCCAGAGGCCCCTAGAAGACGATCAGGAGGCTTCCAGAAGGCCTTAAGAAAGACTGCAAAACTGTTGTGAGGCCCCGGAAGCTCTCCAAGGAGGAGCCTCCGCAAAAAAAAACAGAGGATGGGGAGAATACGCAGGGTATGGCGATAATGAAGAAAAATCATCATGGAGAGAGGACACCGAATAACATTGTTATAACAGCGACGCCGGAAAAGGCAACAAGGAGTTATTGCAAAATTGTCGGCTTGACCTTCCTGCCAGTCCGTCTGCATACCGAATTTCAGGGACAAAGGTGTATGACGCGAAGGGCCCATGCAATCTCGTAGATGTACAGATAACTGTATATGCATACATCTATATATATATATATATAGAGAGAGAAAGAGAGAGAGAGAGAGAGAGAGAGAGAGAGAGTTCCGCGCTTTGTGTAGATGGGAACGGCGGGGGCCTTTCGCAGAAGCGTGTTGGGAGCGGTTCTGGTGCCTTGAGGGGCCTCCTGGGGTCATCTTGGGCCCTTCTGGTTGCCGCGTGGGGCCGTTTCCAGCTCGCTTTAGCTCTTGTGCATATATGTGTATGTGTATATATATGTACTACATAGATACTTATATATATATGTGATTGTGTATATATGTGTGCGTATAGATATAGATATATCGATCGATTATATTATACATTATACATGTGTCGATCCCTATCTCTGGCCCGCGTAGAGATAGCAACATGAAGCCACGCTCCGCGCGCAGGCGCGCGCCGGCGCGCCGGCTCCGGGTCGGGCTGCTCGGGCTCCGCGAAGGTGACGGCGGGCGCGCGCCCCCCGCCCCGCCTGGCCGGGGCGGGGCCCGGGGCCACGGCCTCGCCCAGGCCAGCCGCCCGCCGGGCGCTCTGGAAGCGCGGCGCCTGGCGGCCGCGTTTCTTTTTCGAAAAAAAAGAAGTATATATATATGTATGTATTATAGATATAAAGAGAAAAGACATCTATACTATATAATATACATATACAGATAGATTGCATTTACTTAAGAACACACATTGAAAAATCAAAAGCAACAAAAAGTGACAGATCCAGTCGGGGGCCACATGCGAACCCTACCCCCACCCGCCACGGTTTCGGAGGGGGAAGGCGGGGTTCACTTCGCCGCAGAGATCGTGGGGGGCAGGGAGGGGTAGGGTTCGCATGTGGCCCCCTGTTGAGGCAAGCTTACTTGCATGGCGTTGCCCCGCACCCCCCTCGCCCCTCCTCAGACGAATACTGGCGTGCAAGCGCCGTTCGGTTCGCGTGGTTTCCGCGCGTGCAAGTCGTTTGCGGCTTCTTCAGGTTCAGCCCCGACCCCGTCCATGCAAGTAAACTTGGGGGCGTTTAAAGGAACATGCTTTTGCCAGCAAAAGAGATTGGTTCTCATAAGAAAGCCTGTGTTGATTGGTTGTCGTGAGAATCGTGCGATGTTCCACCACAGTCGGGCCGCGGAAAGGAGGAAGGCTAAATGAGGAAGGAAGCCCCGTTTGGGCTCCAGAGCCGCTTTCGTCTCACGAAGAGGGCTGGAGGAACAGCCATGGGAGGACCTAAGGAACATCGACCCCCTTCCGGAACCCAAGCTGTTCCTTACTTTAGCGTCTTGACTGCATCATGATATTATGATGATAGCCTTAGGTCGGGCGTGTCCTTTCCAGGCGGATTTTGGACGGCAAATGAAAAACAGTCAGAACAAAATCCAAAACAACTTCACATACACTCTAAACATCGCCCCCATACAATTTTTTGAATTAGTTTTGAATTTCACTCCTGTAGAGTGATATGCCGGACATAATATTAGTGGCGCCTGGCAGCCGCGCGCGGAAGGCTCCCACGCGCAGGCTTGTTGCCGCTCCGTAGGGCGAAGCCAAAACGAGGACAGCACTGGACGAGGATAAATGAACGTTCTTTTACTCGGCCCTTCGGCATTGGGCGGAAGGGGGGGATGGGGGGGTCTGTCTCCGGACCTCTGCTTAGTGCGACTGTTTGTGACAGTGCGTCCTATGGGGGAGACTCCACCTACACGAAACAAGCGCCGAAAACAGCCAAGATCTACTCGATGGGGAGGGGACGGGGGGGGCGAGGGCCCGCGCCGATCGGCAAAACAACGAACAATAAAACGGTTAACAAATCGAGAATGGTTGAGATCAGGCGGATGTCTTGGGCGCCGCGACACTCTCAGAGCGTTCTGGGAACGCTCTGAGAGCGTCCCGAAACGCTCAGCAACGGATGCATCCCCGTCCTAGCCCCGCTCGGCCTCTGCCAGTATGCGCCCATTGCGGGTCCAATAACCATGATAAACCCCTGGGGTCAGGAGCCGTAAATGTTTGAGAGGCCCAGGATCGCCGGACCCGGGCCCCTCGACATCACGCGAAGCAAAGCCAGCAGCAACAACTATATGAAACGTCTGCGGGGGTCACGATACCGAGTGGGGGAAGGAATCTATCTTTCGCCGCCCGGAGCGCTGTCCACCCCCACCCCTAGAGACGACGGGGGAGGTCCTCCCTCTATGATTTCGGGACTGACGTTGCACCGTGCACCAAATACGCACGTTGACAGGACTCGCTGTGAGGCATCCGAGAACACACTGCTCGGCGGATTCTTGAAGCTTCGCGGCAAGCCCAAGAACTCCTGTGCGTGCCTGGGGGTGGCGGAGAACAGACGATCTCCAGGACGCACCTGCTGGCAAGCCAATCTCTTTCCTAATGTGCCAATTCTGAAGCAGCGGGAACAAAAGCATTCACGTAAACTGTCGGACCTCTTGGACCGGCGCTCGGAAACTGGCGCGCAGAGCGCGCCAAGGGCGGCACTGGAGGCGCTGCCAGGGGGGCCCAGCGCAAACTCACAAAATCCGCGCGGAGCTCCGGCAGTGCATGCTTGTGCAATGCATTATTCTTCCGAACTGTCCACGTCACGTAAAAAGAGCACCCAGGTAAGAGTGACCCGTGGTGCATAAGGTGGAGGCCAGTCCACAAGAAACCTTCCACAAGAAGCCCAACCCTGAGACCTCAGGACGTCCATCGGTTTTTGGTGTGGGAACGTCAAGCTCTCCACCGCAAGACCGTGAAAACCCAAGAAACCCAGGGCACTCTGGAGGCTAGCAGGGTGCTCCTTGGCATGGGTCTCCAGTGTATGCATATGCCATATACTATTCTTCCCAGCTGTCCACTTAAAAGAGCCCCCAGGTAAGAGGGACCCTTGGTGCGTAGCTTGAGGGCGCCGCGGAAAAATTCCGAACACGAGCGCGCAGGCAAGCGCCGGGAGGAGGCCCCCTGCGGGCCCGCTCCAGATGCCACAGTACGGCGAAGGGTCACTCTCAGCGTCTGCCGAACAAGGTCTACCAGTACCACGTCTACCGTAGGGGAACGAACAATGACACATAAGAACTCGGAGGTCCGCGCGGATTTCTCGGATCCGCGCTGGAGGGGAGATGTCATGTCAAGGCCCCCGCCATGGTACCCCCCCCCCAGTCATCACCCCCCTCTTGGCCGCCCCCGATGCCAGGCGGGCCTCCCGGGGTCTCGGCCCCTCCTCCGATAGGTTGGACGCCCGAGATGGTCACGGAAAGAACTGGCCCAACGCCCAACAGCCAACGTTGTTCAAAACCGACGACCGTGGCCGCTGTTGGGCCGCTGTTGGACCCCCATAATATCCACCCCGGCAAGCGAAGCCGTTTAGTAGACGCACCTAAAGGAGGAATCGAACAGGGTAAGGCTGTTTAGTGAACGCCCAGGGCCGTTTGGCAATCGCCAATTATCGGGTTCGGGTGTTTTTTCCTCCCTTGATTTTACATGCCTTCAGTGAACCACGTCCGCGGCGGCGCAGACAGCGAGTCGTGTTCGAGATGAACAGAGATTGCTTCTGGACATCGCACCTGTTCTTTCCGTGCCCATGTCGATCGTCCCGACCCGAAAAAAAGGAACACCGGGAGGACGCCAGACTCGGGTACGGGGCACCCGCAGGTTGGCCTGACGAGGCGAGACCCGGCCTGAAATTTGACGCGACCTCCCGCTGCAGACATCCCGCAATAACCCAGACATGCGACGTCCGGGCTTTTGTCAAGGCGGCGTCCCTGGAAACCTCGACCCTTTCCCTAGGACCGGCTTTTCGTACCGAGTCGTTCTTTGACGTCCCTGGAGCCCGGCGAGGGCCCCCCGGGGCCGAAAATAGCGAAAAACCGCCCGCCAAGATATTTTTTACGACGCGATCATGTCTGGGACAATCAATGAACCGTCAACATCCAGGCCCCGGGCCAGGGAGCGTACGGAGACGCCGAGGGCGGCCAAACCCCCAAGACGAAAAAGAAACCCTGCACGCCGCGAGAGCTCCCTCCACGACAGCGCCGGGGGAGAGGAGCCCCTCATACCCAGACCCCCGACGTGATGATTTTTTCATTACGTCGACCCCTGGAGGTCTCGACCCATTCCCCTGGACCGGTGTTTCATCCTGAGTCATTTTTTTGACGGTCCCGAGGGTCGGAAAGAGCCCCCAGAGCCGAAAATAGCCAAAAACTTCACGTCGTACGAATTTTTTTCGCAACGCGAGGGGGTCTGGGACCCTGCACGCCGCGAGAGCTCCCTCCCCGACCGACCGAGCCGGGGGAGACGAGCGCCCCCCAGATACGGGCTCGGGAGCGCGCGCCGCCCCGAGGCCTTGGACAGCCCGAACGAGGGCGCCGACGCGGAGCGGCGGATCAGGCTCTCCTGAGGTGGGAGCGCTCCTCCTCCTCCTCCTCCTCCTCCTCCTCCTCCGCGTGCCGCCCATGGCACCTGGCCGCGCGGGGCCCGGCTCTGGGCTGGCGCGTTCCAAAAAAGGCCTCGCCTTCGAGGATCGAGCCAGACCCCCTCGGGCAATGAAAAGATCATGGCGGGGGGGGTTCTGCTATTCTCGGCTTCTGGGGGCCCTTAGCGGCCCTCGGGACCGTCAAAAAACGATTCAGGATGAAAATTTGGTCCAGGGGAATGGGTCGAGACCTCCAGGGGTCGACCTCGGGCTGTGACACAGAAATCGCGACGCAAAGTTCTTCGCTATATTATCGGCCTCCCGGGGGGCCCTTCCCGGGCCCCGCGGGGCCGGCAAGGACTGGAGACGAATGGAGACGAAAAACCGGTCCCCGGGAAGGGGGTCCAAACTTCTGAGGGCCACGTCATACAAACAATCACGACGTCGGGGGTCTGGGTTAAAGTAGGGGGGGCCAGCTCGGGGGCGGGAACATCGAGCTGCATCGAGCTCGCGGCTGACGGTGCGGCCTCCGCACACGGGGCTCCTGCCAACTCGGCTGTGGCCACTTCTGGTCAGGCCCTCTGGCCCAGTGAGGAAGAATGATGAGGGGAGATTGGCCCAGGGGGGGGACCCATCGACCTGGAATCGGCGATGCATCGCCCACAGATCGGCGCCATAAGCCCCCCGACCACCAAAAACCGCACGCTCCCGGGGGGGGGCCGGGCATATCAGGCCTCGGTCGGTGATGAGCGGGCGACTTTTGGGGGGCCGATGCCGCCCCGCCCCGGGCCAGCGCCCCCTGCCTCCTCCTTCTCCTCCTGCTCCTCCTGCTCCATTCCTTCTCCTTATAGATAACTTTTCCATGTCGCACCCCGAGGCCAGTTTTTAGGGCGGGCCGGGCGTGTCGCCTCAGACTTCCGCACCATTCATGACTCTGAAGCTTCCAAGTGACAACAGTTTCACACATGGAGGGCAGGTCGTTTTCAAAATGTGGCTCTCGCCTGAGCGCCGCGCACATTCGCTTTAAAAGATTGCAAGAGCTCCACGGATAGAGAGCGGGTGGTCTTCAACATGTGGCTCTCGCCTAAGCGCCGCGCGCATTCGTTCCAAACAGTTGCAAGAATTTCACGGATTGAGGCCGGGTCGTTTTCAAAATGTGGCTATCGCCTGAGCGCCGTGCACATTCGTTTTTAACATTTGCAAGCTACCGTACGGTCAAGAACTTGTTTGCCTCGTCGCGGCGGCGGCCCCAGCGACACGCGGCGCCTTGCAAACTGATAGCACGTCTGTGTCGTGAGGCCGGGACAAGCTGCATCTCTTCTCTGGATGCAGCGTCGGTCGCCCTAAAGACCTCCAAGCCTGGCTCGAGAAGCTCAATGCATCGCCCGCTCTCTGTAAGCCTCTCTGGGTGCTCTCGCTGGACGTTGCTGACAATAGGGGCAAGGGCGACCTCAGGACGGCCAGCACTCTTCAGCACTGGCGGGGCATCATGGCCCAGAGCGCCGTGATTGGCCTTGTGGGTGGGCCCCCCGTGTGAGACCTGGTCTGGCGCCCGTGCGGTGGCCCTCGACCCCGTCCCTGGTGCGGCTCGCGGCGGAGAGATCCGCAGCGCGTGCGGACCGCTGCTCTCCCCCGGGGGGGAACAAGGGCTCCAGGACAGGGGGCAGGTCAGCGTTGGTAAGGAGCTCCGGCGCACCATGGCCCTCTTCCCTGTGTGCGCCCATCTCACAAGCACCCTTGCGATCATGGAACACCCAGGGGTGTCGCGGAGAGCTGACGATACCTCGAGTTGGAGATTGCCCGAACTTGCGTGGATTGCGTCTCTTGCCTCTGCTTGCTCCATCCGTCCTGACCAGCGCATGTTTGGGTCTCTATATCTAAAACCGACCAGCCTACTCGGTGTCCACGTCCCGTCGCTACGTCGACTCTTGGCGTGTTGCGGCAGGGGGCGGGACGGAATCAGCAGCCCAGAGGACACCTGGTGGACGTGGGGAGGGACGGGTCGGGATCGTATCACACCTCTCCTCTCAAGGCCAACCCACCGGCTTTCTGTAGGTTACTCGCTGCAGTTTTCCTTGAGGGCCACAAGCTTTTCATCCTCCTGGGCCCTTACGCAAATTTCCTTCAGCAGCATGACTGTATACGTTGGGAGGTGTCGCGACGTCACGAGCTGCGTTGTCCCCTGGCGCTTCGTTGCTCCTTTGCCAATGCACGTGGTTGCTTCGGAATCATCCCTTCAGCAGTGCCAGCAGCAGCATGAGGAGGAGGAGGAGGAGGAGGAGGAGGAAAAGGAGGAGGAGAAAGAGGAGGGTTCAGTGCCAGGGCCAACGGGTAGTGGAGGAGGAGAAGGAGGAGGAGGAAGAGAAGGAGGAGGAGGAGGAGGAGGAGGAGGAGGAGGAGGAGGAGGAGGGAGGAAAAAAGGAGACGATCGTCGTGGCCGACGACGAGGACCACGACGAGGACCACGACTACGACGACGACGACGACGAGGAAGGGGAGGACGAGGAGGAGGAGGAGGCGGAGGGCCGAGGGGGAGGTGGAGGAGGGGGAGGACGAGGAGGGGGGGAGGAGGAGGGGGGGGGGGAGAAGGAGGAGAAGGAGGAGAAGGAGGAGGAGACCGAGGAGGAGGAGGCCGAGGAGGAGGCGGCCGAGGAGGAGGAGGAGGAGAAGGAGGAGGAGGAGACCGAGGAGGAGGAGAGTGGGGGAGGGGAGGGAAAGGCGAGGGAGAGGGAGGGAGGAGGGGAGGAATGGAGGGGGAGGGCTACTCCTCCTCTGAACCCCCGTCGCTGGGGAAACCAAAACGCACCGATACCCGCTACTCGCCAGACCCCTCCCAAGACGTGCACTGTGACCAGAAGTTCGAGGAGAACCTGGCCGGGGGGACGAGGCGTCTCCTGGACGAGCAGCGGCATCATTCCTCCTCGGAATCGCTTGCATGGCGTTCGCCCCCCCCCCCCGCCCCCCCATCGCCCCTCTTCAGACGAACACTGGCGTGCAAGTACCTCTCGACTTTGCGTGACGTCCGCACGTGCAAGTCGTTTGCGCCTCGCTTCAGGTTTAGGACAACCCGTCCAGGCAAGTAAACTTGCCCGAATCAAAAACGAAAACAGGCTCATGCAACATCGCGAAAAATCCCGACCGGGGCCCTAGAGCCCATCTTTCTGCTGCATTGTGCCCTGGGGCCCGAAACGAAGCAAACCCACCCGGTCACGCCAAGATCTCCTCAGACGACGTCCTGATTTCTTCGGAAGTCCCGACGCTTTCCCCGGGACCGCTTCTTCATCCCGAGTCGTATCTTGACGGTGCTGGGGCCTGGCGAGCGCCTCTGGAGGCCGAAGATGGCCAGATACCTCCCGAAGATGGCCTGTCTTGGCGGCGCGCACAAGGGGGTGATCGGGGAGGGGAGAAGACTTCCTAGAAGGAGGCTGCTTCTCAGAAGGCACCGGCCTTACATCTGTTGATCAGGACCCGCGCCTTCTAAGAAGCAGGGGTGCTTCTCAGAAGCCGTCCGCCCTCCGCCTACCCCCCTCCCCAGACCCCCGACGTCAAGATTTTTTCATAACGTCAACCCCAAGATGTTTCGACCCATTCCCCAAGGCCGAAACGAGCGACAAATGAAACATGTCCCGTCGTGATCTTTTTCACAACGCGAGGGGGTCTGGGTCCGCTGGGGCCCTCTGGGGCCGATCGTGAAGGCCTCGAGCCATGAGATCCCTCGGAGCCGGGGGCCTTCCTTCCATCTACTTATAAAGGCCCGCGCCTTCTAAGGGGCAAGGGTGCCTTCTACGTCCCTGCCCTCCTCCTCCTCCTCCTCCTCCTTCTCCTCCTCCTCCTCGCCTTTCCTCCTCGTCCTCTGCCTTCCCCCCTCTGCGCGTGGCTCACTGCCGCTGGCCCCCCGAGCTCCGAGGACGTGTAAGACCCCGGCCCGAGGTCGCCGGCGCTGCTCTGCACGGCGGCGGTGGGCCGGCCTGGCGCGCCGCCCCGGCCCTCCGCGGCGAGGGGCGGCAGCGTCAGAGCCTGGCGCCAAGGGGGGGGGTGGCGCCCAAGCCCAGATCCCCTCCTCGTCCTCCTCGTCCTCCTCGTCCTCCTCGTTCTCCTCGTCCTCCTCGTCCTCCTGGTCCTCCTCCTCCTCCTCCTCCTCCTCCTCCTCCTTCACCTCCTCCTCCACCTCCTCGTCCTCCTCTTCCTCCTCGTCCTCCTCCTCCTCCTCCTCGTCCTCCTCCTCGTCCTCGTCCTCGGCCTCGTCCTCGTCCTCGGCCTCCTCCTCCTCCTCCTCCTCCTCTCCCTCCTCCTCTCCTCCTCCTCCTCCTCCTCCTTCCTCCTCCTCCTCCTCCTCCTCCTCCTCCTCCTCTCCTCCTCCTCCTCCTCCCTCCTCCTCCCGCCTCCTCCTCCTCCCTCCTCCTCCTCCTCTCCTCCTACTCCTCCTCCTCTCCTCCTCCTCCCTCCTCCTCCTCCTCCTCCTCCTCCCCTCCTCCCGTCCTCGTCCGCGTCCTCGCCTCGTCATCGTCCTCGTCCTCCCATCCTTCTCCTCCTCCTCCTCCTCCTCCTTCTCCTCCTTCTCCTTGTCCTTGTCATCGTCTCCTCGTTCCCCCACTCCTCCTCCCCATCATCATCCGCCTCCTCCTCCTCCTCCTCCTCCTCCTCCTCCTCCTCCTCCTCCTCCTCCTCTTTCTCCTCCTCCCCCTCCCCCTTGCTTTGAGATTGCTACAATCGGCCACGCCAAACTCAAGCCAAAGACACCCAGGGCACCCAGACGAAACATACGGTGTTTCTTATCATGCGGTCCGACTGCATGATTGAATCACGACGAACGGTTCATGGTCATTTGAGGCCTCTGGGGGCCCCCGCTGGGCCCCAGGACCATCAAAAGACGACTCGGGCTGAAAAGCCCGTCCCGGAAAAAAGGGTCGAGAGACCCCTGGGGGTCCACGCGGTGAACAAATCCGGACGTCGGGGATCGAGGCTCCCTGCGACCCCCCGTGACCTCCCTCGCCAGCCCCTCCGCTCGGGCGCTCCCCCCCCTCATCACGGGCATCTGCGCCCCCCCCCCGCCCTTGTGTTGCGTCCTCGCGTCCCGTCGCGGCCGCATCCGCGTCGAACCCGCGTCGAATCCATGTCGGACTCGCCGAATCCGTGTCGAATCCGCGTCGAGTCCACGCCACATCCGCGTCGAGGCCGCATCGAGCCCAGGTCGGGCACAAGAAAACGACATCGACGCTTTGGGACAGGCGAGGTCCCCCAGAGATGCGGCTCAACCGCCACACACCCCTGGTCCAGCGGGGAGGCGGCGGCCGCCGTTAGTGGGGAAACCAGAGAGGTACCGAGGCAGTCAAAACGTGCGTGAAGGACGGGTGGCAAGGATGCGAGGCTCTTGGACTTCTGTTGCTCCCGTCGCACTCAAGGACCACATCCCAGAAATACTCTCGAGCACCCAGACAAATATCGAAACAGTGTCGAACAAATATCAGCTCCCAGGGCCCGACACGTGAAACACCGGCAGTTTCGGTACTTTCTTGGTGCTCGAAGTGCTTTCTGGTCATCAAGGCTGAAGTACGTTAGAGCATCAAAAACCCTTGGAGGCCGAAGCTGGGATTTTGTGGGCGGCGGGCGACCAGTGAAACGGCACAAGGACGGGCCGCAGAGGCAAGGTCCCTGGATAAGGGCACCCCAGACGAAGGCGCGCGTGTCTGGCTAGGAGGCGCGTGGACAGGTCCGCTGCAGAGCCTCTCCTGGGGTGCGCTCTGGCCAGGATCTCGAAGCGAATCCGGCGGTGGCGACGGAGGGCCCCCCGGAGGCCCCAACCCAGACCCCCGACTCCATGATTTCTCCATTGCTAGGGAGCCCACAAAGGACGTACGCGCCCAACGATGTACATGAACACGGCCCCTCGATCCGCGAGACTGACCGCGTTATACGAACATTTGCGCAATACGTACTCTCGAGACCAGCGTGGATTCATGTACGTGTACGTCCTTCTCTCGCTCCTGAATTGCGCCGACCGCATGGAGGTCTCGACCATTCCCCTGGCTGTTCATCCCGAGTCGTTTTTTGACGGCCCCGAGGGCCGGCAAGGGCCCCCAGAGGCCGAAACTGGCAAAAAACCCTCCGTCGCGACTTGGTCATTATGCCCGAGGGGGTCTGGGAGAAAGGGGAAACGATGGAAGGGTAGCAGTACGGGGGCGTCTTCTCCTCCACCGAGCCTGGCGCTGGCGCCCCTCCCTCTCCGCCAGGAGCTCCGCCAGGCTCTTCGTGTGGCCCAGGTCGGGTGATGCTGCCACGAAGCAGACGGGCACCGACTGAGCAGGGACCGACCGCCCCGGCACTCCTAGAGGCCTGCCACGACATGCTCGTGGAGCCCCCAAATGCTCGAATACTAAAAGCAATGTTCTCAGAGCATAAACCCGTTGTGTCAAAGCAGGACAATCTCGGCCAGACATGGTCTGAGAATATTTCGTGCAGACCACCACAAATTCTTAGAGCATTCTTTTGTAGGCCTTGGACAAGCGGGGACGCTTCGCCACTGCCTAACACAGGGAAAGCAAAAGCCGCCGCCACCGAGAGACCATCACGGGGAGAGGGGGCACCGGACGACGCTCGCACGCGCCACGGCTCAGGGGTGGGCCCCACCCGATGACCTCTCGGTAGCGCTGGCTTCTGCCTCCTCTGACCCAGGCCCCCGACGTCATGACGATTCATAATTCGACCCCCAGCGGGTTCGACCCCGTCCCCAAAGCTCGCTTTTCATCCTGAATCGTCACCCGGTAAGCGCCACGGGAAGCCGAGAACGGCGAAAAACCTTCCGTCGTGATTTTCTCTTGACGCGAGCAGGTCTGGGGAGGTCCTGGACCCCGGGGGCTCCCCTGGAGGGCCAGCTCCTCATCCCGAGCTGCTCTTTGACGGACCCAGGGCCGAGGAGGGCCCCTGGAGGCCAAGGACCGAGAAACACCTCGGGATCCGACCCGTTTCCTTCAATAGAGGCCTCCTAGTTGGGGTCCGAGTAGATGGGGTCGGAGGATCGCGCCGCCTCGCCGATGAATCGCCGATGCATCGGCGATGCATCGACGATGGATCGGCTCTGCATCGAGCCGCATCGCCGATGCGGCGCGATCCTCCGACACCATCTACTCGGACCCCATTTGGGAGGCCTAGACTCAAGGACCCCCTCCCAGACATCTGATGTCTGAATCTTTTCAACAGGAGGTCCCCCGAAATCCCGGCACCGTCCCCAGGGTCGGTGTCTCGTCCCGAGTGCCCAGGGATCCGACGCTGCGGGCGGTTTTGGGCTGTTTGGGGCCTCCGGGGGCCCTCGCCGGGCCTCGGGACAGCTGAGAAACGACTCAGGACAAAAAAAAAACAGCCTCAGGGAAGTGCTCCAGACCTCTGGGGGCCACGCATCGAAAAAATGTGAGCAGCTGGATGTCTGGGTGTCGTGCTTTTGTTTTGGTCGTGGGGCCCGGGGAAGGCCCCTGGAAGCCGAACGCAGAAGAAAACAGCGCGCTGTTTTCTTTGTGTCACGACGCGAGCACCTCCGGGTTTTGCGGGGACAGCAAGCGACTACGACCATATCGAGGACACACATTTCGGGGGATGTCTTGCGCATGCCAGCACTTGCCGGAACACCGCGACCAGCCTCGTACTGGTTGTGGTCGATGTGGCGCCCCAGGACGGCCAACTCGACCACAACCAAAGTGCTCATGTCGATGTCGGTGGGCTTTCCCACGAGGGCCCTTCCCGAACAACCCGCTTGGTTGTGGTTGTGGTTCTTTGCTGTGCCCCGGGGTTTGCTTCTTGGCGATGACTGCGCGCAGGAACAGGTCGGGCATGCCCCCCTACAGGGGGAATTTGGAAGAAAAGCAGAGCATTGTCAAACCATTACCAAACATAGCCAAATGGATGTCAAAAGAGCACTGAAAATCATCACGAGCCAGGGTCTAGGAGCGAAGCAGGACGAGAAAGCTGCCATGATGCGATTGGCGCAGGATGCGGTCCCACTGGAGACCCTCCCGAACAATCCGCCTAGTAGTGGCTCTGGTTCGTTGTATCGGGCTGTATCGTCGATGCATCGACGATGCGGCGCGATCCTCCGACCCCATCTACTCGGACCCCATCTAGCCCAGACCCCCGACGTCATGAATTATTCATTACGTCGACCCCTGGAGATCTCGAGTCGAGATCTCCAGGGCTTTTTCTGTTGCATCAAAAGCGCTTTAAACCAACGTTGTAACAATCGGATGCCTAATGTGCTGCTTTTTTTCCGTTTGGAAAAAAGGCTATAAAAAACACTGCGCGCGCTGCCCCGGCGAGACTCCAGGCTGATACCCCGCCGCAGGATCCGCGACCGTCCCAGACCCCCAGGTGCTCACAAACCTCGACCCATTCCCCGGGACCGGCGTTTCTTCCTGAGCCGCTCTTTGACGGCCCCGAGGGCCAGGAAAGGCCCCCCGAGGCCGAAATCCTAGACACGCCTCCCGTCATGACTTTTTTATACCTCGAGGGGGTCAGGGATCTAGGACTGTGGATGCCATGACAATGGACACTCTAACAATCCTATATCGTTGAATTAAAGTGTTTATAATGTGTAACACATGCTCTAAACATGTTTATGTACATATTTAAAACATGTCTGAAACATGATTTAGACATCTGGGAATTATTTGGCAGCATGCTTCCTCCCCACCACTCGACTTATCCACAAGCCTGTGGAGCTGTGCCCCGGTGGTCCTGCTTCTATGTCGGGCATGCCCCCCTACAGGGGGATTTTCGACGAAAAATGAAGAATACGCCAAAAATACACAAAAAGATTAAGAAATACTCAAAAAATAGTCCCCAAACTATTTTTTTGGTATTTTTGGGGGTATTTTCTAGTCTTCCTCGAAGATGCCCCTGTCGGGGGACGGGCCCGACATAAGCCTGCTTCGTGGCGATGACTGCGCGTAGGAGCAAACCAGCATTGGGCCACTGGGCGGCGTGCACGCGCCGCGCCGCGCTGGCCGCCGCGGGGCCCCACGGCGCGGGGGGGGCGCGGCCCGGGGCCACCGTTCGGTGGCGGCCCGCCCTCGGGCAGAGACGTCGGCGGAGGCGTTGCACGGAGAGGCCTCCGGGATGGGGCCCGCCGAGCAGCCCAGACCCCCTCGCGTCGCGCACAATCGAGACGTTTTTTTTTTTTTGTTGTTCCATACTTTCGGCCTCCAGGGGCCCTCGCCGGGCCTCGGGAGCGTCAGAAAACGGCTCAGGATGAAGCTCCGGTCCCGGGGAAGGAGTCATGACAAATTCATGGCGTCGGGGGGTCTGGGGATAGAGGTCTCCTAGATGGGGTCCGAGTAGATGGTGTCGGAGGATCGCGCCGTCTCGGCGAAGCGTCGGCGAAACATCGCCGATGCATCGGCGATGCCTCGGCGACGTCGGCTTTGGGAAACTCGGGCTACGCATCGAGCCGCATCGCCGATGCATTCGCGATGCGGAGCGATCCTTCGACCCTGTCTACTCGGACCCCAAGCGGGAGGCCTAGACTGGAGGAGCACGTCCAGAACGAGCATGTGAGGCGGCGCGCCCGGAGAGGGAGTTTGGGCGTTTCGGGTTCGAGGCCCGAGGCTGTCCGGGCGTCGTCGGGGGTTCTCGGCGGGCTGCCAGCCTCGGGGTGCGCTCTGGCGGCCGCGCCTCGCCGAGGGCGCTCCGAGGGTGCCCCCCGATCGCCCCGAGAGCGGCCACCGGCATGGCCGAAGAGCCACCGGGGCGTGTCCGGGAAGGGGCGGGCCTTCTCGGACGGCTCGGAGGGCCTCGGGCCCTCTGAGGAGCCCGCTATGTGGGCCCTCCCCGAGAAGACCAACAGAAACAGGTCTCGCAAGGCCCGGGGGGGGATTGTCCCGAACGGCCGCCAGAGGGCCGAGTTTTAATACCCGAAGAACCTAAGAACTCCTCCTCCTTCTCCTCCTCCTCCTCCTCCTCCGACCCAGAAGTCAACCAACCGGGGGGAGTGAAGGGGGGGGGCAGGCCTTCGCAGAAGGCGGCAGGGCTTCTCTGGAGCCCTCGCGCTCTCTCAGAAACCGTCTGCGGCTGCAGAGGAGGCGCGCAAGACTTCCCTCAGGAGGCTCGAGGGCTCCTGAGAAGCCCCGCCGCCCTTCTGAGGCCTTCTCCTGCTCGCCTCCCCCCTTCGCTCGCCGCCGACGTACAGGTCGAGCATCTTGCAGCGTGTCGCTGCCCAGGCGGTATGGCCAGACACCCAGATCCCCGACGACGTGATTTGTCCAACGTCGACCCCAAGAGGTCTGGACCCCTTTCCCCGAGACCAGTTTTTCATCCTGCATCATTCTTGGACGGTCCCGAGGCCCGGGGAGGGCCCCTGCAGGCCGGGATTGGCGACCAGCCTCCCGTCGTGACTCTGTTCACAGCGCGAGGGGGTCCGGGGGCAGCGCCCGGTGGCCGCGCGCAGGTCGCCCCCCCGAGGCCTCGGGGGGGGGGGGGGGGAGGGCTGGCCGACCCGCGCACGGAGAGCGCACGGTCATGCTCGGGCGATGCCGATGAAGGAAGCCGGGGGCCCGCCGCGGGCAGCGAGGGGAGCACCACGGCGGGCCGAGGAGGCCGTCGTGTTCGTCGCCCTCCGTGCGCCGCGGGGGCAACGCGTAGCAAGGCGGAGGCGCGAGGAGGATCTTGAGGGCCCCCTGGAAGGTCACTTCGAAGCTGCTCGAGCGGGGCGCGGCCGGCGGCAGTGGCCAGGGATGGGCCGCAGGGGCAGGAATGCCAGGGTGCCCCTGGGAAGGCCGCCCGTCCCTCTGATGCGGGTTGGGTGTAGGCAGAGCCACGGAGGAGGGAGGCGTTGGAAGTAGATTGGGCTTCCGCCCCCACCACCTGGAGAGGAGGGAAGGAGGAAAGCCACTCGACCCTTGAAGTATCGGGGGCGCGCAAACATGGATTAGCGATCCATGGATTTGGCGCGCCGTCGCCAAATCCATGGATCGTGGGAGGTGTCCTCCCAAAATGCGGCCGGTGCCGCCTCGCTCGGCAGCGGACATCCGCGATTTCCCATGGAAACGGCACCAGTCGTTAATCCACAACCCCTTGATCCATGTTTGCGTTCGCCTGACTGGAGAGGAGGGAAGGAGGAAAGCCACTCGACCCTTGAAGTAGGAAGCAGGTTGGGATCTGGGAGTCCAGAAACAAATACCTGCTTTCCACGACTGGCGTGCAACTGCGGGGACGGCAGGCGACCACAACCACATCGAAGATACACCCTGGGAGATGCCCGGTGCACGTCAGCAACTGTCGGAACATCGCGACCAGCCTCGTACTGGTTGTGGTTGATGTGGCTCCCCAGGACGGCCACATCGACCACAACCACAACCAAAGTGCTCGTGTCGATGTCGGTGGGCTTTCCCACGAGGTGACCTCCTAAACAACCCAGTTGGTTGTGGTTGTGGTTCTTTGTTGTGCCCGGGGGTTCGCTTAAAGGCGATGACTGCGCGCAGGATACACCCTGGGAGATGTCCGGTGCACGTCAGCAACTGTCGGAGCACTCCTCCTCCTCCTCCTCCTCCTCCGCCTCCTCCTCCACCTCCCCCCCCCTCCCCTTCACCCTCCCCCCTCCCCCTCCTCTTCCTCCTCCTCCGCTCCCCACGGCAGCACGGCGCGGCTCGGGAGGCCACACGCGACTGTGGGCATCCAGCTCGGCCCAGGCGGCCAGGCCTAGGTCATGTGTCGGCCACATCCTGCTGCGTCCCGCCTCATCATCACCATCATCATCATCATCATCATCATCATCATCATCACCATCATCATCATCATCATCATCATCCTCATCATCTTCATCATCTGCAGCATCATCGCCATCGTCATCGTCATCGTCATCGTCATCGTCTTCGTCATCGTCATCGTCACCAGCATCATCATCATCACCATCATCATCATCATCCTCATCATCTTCATCATCATCCTCATCATCTTCATCATCAGCAGCATCATCGCCATCGTCATCGTCATCG